GTGTAACTCATTGCAAGATGTAGCACCGAGTTCTCAAAACAGCCAAAATCAACCCTTTGTCACATTGCATGATGTGACCGATCCTTTTTATATCCTGCTTTTTCCCCTTCTGTAAGGAACACAAAGCGCCTTACCTAGCTCCATTTTATCCTCACAGCAACAGCCTTGTGAGGTAGGCTGGGCTGGGAAGGAATGAATTTGCCAGAGCACATAACGCAGAGAAAGCGATTTCTGGCACTGGGGGATTAAAGCAAAGTGTGGGGTGGGGAGAGCAACAGCACCCATGAGTTATATGCCCCTCTGTCCCCACAACGGTCAGCGTCCGGGGTGTGGGCGGCTGGGTATCAGGTCAGGGCAGCAGGACCCAGACAACCAGTGCAATTTACAGGCCCATTCCAAATCGGAGTCGGGCAGCCCAGAGATCGAGGCAGGTAACAGAAGTGCAAGGCAGGCCAGTCCGAATAGAGCAGAGCAGTCCATGCCAGTCAGGAGTCAAAGCCAGAGAGACAAGCCGAGGAGAAGCAGATACCTGGGACTGGAGCAGAAACCGGAACAGGTGAAGCCAGGCATGGTCCAGAAGCAGAGGCAGGAGCAAGGCGACGGGCAGGGTCTCCAGGAGCGGGTTCCAGAAGGCACAGGGAGCTCCGGCAACGTCAAGCCCCTTCATTGCCGAGGGAGAGCCTGAAGGCAAGAGCTGGGTCTTACACAGCCCTTCCCTCAGGGCTCCCAGGTGCTGCTCGTAACATCCCAGGTGGCTGCGATTGACGTGGGTCTGAGCCCACAGCCACCAGAGCTGCTATTCTGGTCTCTGGCCAGAGGAGGGAGCCCTCGTGTTGGCCAGGGCTGGGCTGGGCTGGCCTGCCCCACCAACTGAGTTGAGTAATAACCAGCAGAAGAGCTCACACGGCAAGCCTCTCACACCCGCTTTCTCATTTCTCTTCTTTTTCCATTTCCTTTCTAGCATAAAAGCCAGGAAGCCCAGTGGTTAGCATGTTCACTGGGAAATCCAGAGATCTGTACTCTAGTCCCCACACAGCCATGAAATTCACCGGGTGCCTTTGCATTAGGCACAGACTCAGCCTGGCCTACCTCACAGGGTTGTTGTGATGATAAAATGGAGAGAAAGTGAATCTGGTCCTACAGCATTTCTGTATTTCCCTTTCTGAAACTGACTACCAGATGGCCCAAATTTACTTAGCAAAGTAATACATGCTGTCACTTGTGGAGGACAAATAACAAACTGTCATTTAATCAATCAATCAATCAATTGTTATTAAATAACGAACTATTATGTGCTATTAAATGACTTTTCCCCCAGGAGCATTCTCAGACCCTCTGCAAATCCCATGTGAACGACTCCTTGGAGAAGTTCAGTGGTTGCAGCATTGGGGCAACAGAGCGCATGGCATGCGCCGGGGTTGGAGAACGGCCGCTCCAGGTCAACATCGCCCACAGAAGGGCTGCTTGTGCAGCTGTCGCCTGCCTGACCTCTCTTTGTGTCTTGCTTTGCTTTCCAGAGATTACTACAACCATTTCTCAGAGGTGGCAAGTCTCTACGGTAGCATTGTCTTCGACCAGGTTGCCAGTTGGTTTAGTTAGGAGGAGTGGAGTACTTCGCCCGCTTTCCTTCCGTGGAGGAGGCTGCAGTGGGGCTCAGGAAGCGGGTTCCCCATATGTTTGGGGCAGGAAGAGGCTTCCCCGTTTGATGACGTGAATAAAGGTCTTTCCCGTCTTCCACGTCTGAGGTGCTCTCTCAGCTCAAGGGCGGGTGTGGGTGCTCTTTGCAAGGCAAGGAAGCAGGGCCTTCGACCTGGATGCACCCGTGTGCCGCATCCCCAACCTTGCAGCCAATAGCCCTTCGGACTGTTTAGCACTGCATCTGAAGCCCACAACTCAAGGTGCTCGCCCAGTGGGCGTAATGTGCTACTTGCGATGGGACCCAGCAGGTGTCTTTGGGTCCGTCGACGGTCCATTTCTGGAAAGGATGCTTTTAAGCAGCAGGCTGTTGCTCCTCTTGTGCTGGGCTCACGCACAAATCACGTGGGTGCCAAAGCACACTGGTGCGGAGGCGAAGGGGAGCGCAGACCCTCCGAAACATAAGCATCTGCTGTCAGCTCTGCCGGCCGGAGACACCAGACTCTGCCACGAGTGGTTCTGCAGAGTGGCCTGCTTGCCCCAGGAGCGTGGGGTGCGCCCCACAGATGCTCTCACACAGGGTGGTCCAGGACTGCCTTCCCCCCTGCCCTCCCACAGGACCTGGAAAAACACCAAGGGGTCCTCCCTCCCCATCACCACCCGACCCCAGCAGCTGGGGGAACTGGGGGCAGGGGGCACTGCCCACCAGTCTGCACAGCCAAGAGGGCTGGCCGTGGCGGCTCGTCCCGGGAGGGGAGCTCTTTCGTGCCAGTGCTGCTGGGCTGAAAGGGCAGGTCGATCCCCCGCAGAGCAGCTGCTCGGGTTGCTCACGGCCCTTCCGGGGGCTTCCCGGGCACAACGCAGCTGCTTCAGGGGGCACCTCGGCCCAGACTGAGCGCTCAGTCCCGAGGCTTCGTAGCCGCGGTGGCTCCCAGGGTCCCCGGGAGATGTAAATCTGGCATTTGCAGGACTTCTCTGTTTCAAACGACCAGCCATTCTTCAGCAGAAGCTCTGGATTTCCAGTGCACATCCAGAGAGCTATTAGCCCACAAAGGAGGGGTCTCTGAGCACGCACAGAGAAGTTTGCTGAACCCAAACGTGAGACTACCTCCCAGAAGCCCCCTTTGTGGTCACCCTGGGGCCCACCCCTCTAGATCTATGCAGGCCTTCTAGTTGGGAGCCCTCTCCCCACCCTGCCCCATGGGGATGAGGACTGGGCCGGACTCTCCTGGCTCACATGGCCTCCCTGAGCTGCCACACGCGATTAGTACCCAAGGCTTGCCCAGAGATGGCCTTGGGATAAGCTCCCCCGCCTTTGCTATCTCTGTGTCCACAGATGTCATTTCCTAGGCTTCACCCTCGTCCAAAAAGTCAGTGCCACCCAAGCCCTGGAAAGCATGCCAAGAATAACAGCCGCTTCCATTCCCAACCATCCCCACAAGCCTTTGAGGAAAAGCCAGACCTGCGAAACGACAAGTGTGTTGGCCAGCTTATGCATTCAAAGGCTTGACCCTGAACCCTAACCTATAATCGTGCTAACACTGCACCCTAAAACACACTATTAAAACAACAGGTTTCAATGCCCTATTCAGAGGCAGCATGGCGTAGTGGTTAAGAGCATGGGACTGGGACTCAGACGATCTGGGTTCTAGTCCCCACTCGGCCATGGAGCCAACTGGGTGACTTTGGGCCTGTCACAGATTCTCAGCCCAACCTACCTCACAGGGTTGTTGTGGTGGGGATAAGGTGGAGCAGGAGAATGGTGTAAGCTGCCTTGAGCCCTTTGTAGGAAAAAGGCAGGATATAAATCCATAAATAAATAAATAAATAAATAAATAAATAAATTCAGAACCATTTCAGCTGGGATAACATTAAAAGGAATGCCGATTGCAGCCGCATCACGATGAATTAAAAGCCAGGGGAAAGTTGCTTAAACAAAGGTGTTTGGGGGAGTCAGCTGAAAATGGAGCACATTTTCGGTCTCTTGAACTGTGACGGGGAGGATGTTCCAGAAGGAGGGGTAGCCGCTCACCAAGAACTTTTCAAATTTCGGTGTGGTGATGTGGGTTCCTTGGAGGCTTCAAACAGCGGGGGAGGTTCCATCACTCTCAGAGCTGCCAGTGATGCACAGAGCTGGCCAAGTCTCCTGGATGGAGCACAGACCTTCCCAAGCAGTGGCCGAAAACAGTGGCGGCGATCGCGTTTGCTCGTCCGTCCAGAAAACCAGGCCCAGCCCTGTCTGGGGGACAGCAAGATTCATGCTGCGGACACAGAGCCCGGAAAGACGCAAAGGCTTTGCCTGAGCACATGGACGGACTCCTGCAGGCAACACGGCTTTCCTAAGAAACAAGCCACTATCAACAGCCGTAGCGTTAGGGTTGGGACGGACCGAGCAGAATCTGTCCCACTGGTATTCAGGGACTTGCTCTAATGTTTTGCCCCTTCTTGCCAAGCCAGTTTTGCTGGTGGAAGGAATGAAGCTCATTCCACTGGCAAAATTCCTCTGCATCACCTGTAGCAACACGAAACAGGTGGCCTGGGAGAGCAGAAGAGGGAGCCCAGGAATGGTGCAGGGCTCCATTCCCGGCGAGCCCCACGCGGCCAATCTTCCACAGCAGACAGAGCAGCCCAAGCACCTGTGACCTGTGGTGCAGAAGAGGGTGCTGCTTGCCGTCACGTGGGCCTTGCCAGAAGCATTTCTCCTCTGGGCAAAGTTGAGCAGCCATCTGGACTACTGCAGGGAGCTGCCGGAGGTCACGCGGGCCGTGCCGGAAACAGGGCACCAATCCTTTGTCATGGGCAGCAGTCCTTGGGGCTGCTTTCAGTGGGGTGGAAGAGAGATGCCACGTGTGTGGCTGGATTCTCGGGGATCGCCCCACCAACTCTGGGTGGCACATCACCCTCTTGGCCACAGAGTGGGCTTTCAGAGCCCAGCCCATGTTCAGCTGGATTTTTGCTGTTTTCCACCCGTTTTCCCTCCTGCCGGTGCGCTCATTCAGCTCCATTCCTTCAGGCTTCGTGGCCTGAACACGGGTGCAGAGAAGAAGGAGATGGTTGGTCAGGAAGAGCTGAGCAAGCAATAGAAGGAACAGATTTGGGCGTAAGGCCTCAGCCTGTGGCTCAGGTATGCCGTGGATCGTGTCCTTGCTTCTCTTAAAATAGAACACGATGTGAGGGAATGAGCTATCTTCAGGCTCAAACACACTTTGGGAAAGGCAGCGGGTGCTACGAACAAATATTTTCCACAAAAGTTAGATGGAGGGGCTGCTCTTTCTATTTTTAGCCTGTCAACTGGGCAGCTGTGAGATAAGGTGAGGCGAAGTTGCATATAAATAATCCAGGAGAACCAACAGCTCTTTCTCGGAATCCGACGATCTTTAGCAATGGCTCTCTTCCTGGTCGCTCTTCTTCTTGGAACCGCAGGTAATTTCTTCCCTCTCTCATGATATTATTCCCAAGTTCCCTGGCAGACTGTGAGGCCATCTCCCCGTCCTCTTGAGCATCAAAAGAATTCTCCCTTTCCCCTGGCAGGTCTCTCTCCAGGCTTCAGTCTGCACCTTTGCAAGAGGTGCCAAAGAGTACAGGCCTGGCCCTGCGCCACCCCCAGAAAATTGCAGCTTGAAGGGAGAGATTTCAGGAGAGCCCCCATTTCCTGCTTAGACCAGAAAAAGCAGCTTGCCGGAATAGCCACCAAGGACCTGCAAAGGGGTCCTTTGCCGTGCCCAGTCTGGGCCGCATCCCCAGACTACAGTCCCTCCCCTCCCCGACTGTGCCTGGATGTCTGATTAATGGTTGCGTGCTCACCTTTGCTTTTCCCTGTCACACACCTGCAATTTTGCATGGTGGATTGGTGTTTGCATAAGGCCCAAGAGCGCTGCAGAAGTGTACGGGGGGGGCGGGGGGAGGAGAAACCTTAATGCCCACGAAGGCCAAGGAGCGTCTGAGCAAACCTTTCCCTTTTCCGTAACTGTTGCTGTGCGGGAGCTGCAAATATGACTGGCAAGCACAGCAAGGGCAGGGGTCTCACCCTGCTGCCCCCCCCCACCATTTCCCTGATGTAAAACCCTCCCCATGCTCCTCTTTGGGGGGGGCACTCAAGAAGGGGTAGAGCAAAGAAGCGAGGGACTGCAAGGGGGTTTCCTCCCAGGCAGTGCCGGGCCGTGGAAAGGGGCGGGCTGGGGGGGGGCCGGCCACCCCAGTCCCCGTGGGAGACCCAGGCCTCTCTGTCTTCCTGCAGCAGCAGCACGGCTGAGCAGTTTCAATGACGATGACAAGATCATCGGGGGGTACGAGTGCCAGCCCCACTCCCAGCCGTGGCAAGTCTTTTTGACCTACGGCAACGGCTACCGGTGGTGCGGGGGCTCCCTGATTAATAACCGCTGGGTCATCTCTGCGGCTCACTGCTACTTGAGGTGAGTACCGGCGCATGCGTGCCAGGTGGGCCAGTCCGTTTCCACACCTGATCCGCGGAAGAAGCATCCCCGCGTTACGGGCTCTTCGCAGCAAGGGCGGCAGGAGGTGAAGCCGCTGTTCCCTGCCAAGGAGAGCCAGGTTAGCATTTCGCGTGGCTTGGCATCCAGCCAGCATGTCCTTGCTGAGCTGGGAAGGCGTGGGCCTGCAGCCGGCTGGCTGACCACCTGTGGAAATGCAGCAGGAGTTGGGACTCGGAGCTTTCGGACCCCCTAAGAAGTGTGCCTAGCACCGACTCGCTCTTCCTTTCAGCACCGGGCAAACTCCTTTTTATTTCCCCAGCATCTGAATCATTAAATTCTATATTGTGTGTCATGCACCATATCATGAATGGCTGGGTGCCCTCTGGTTTGAGTTGTGGTCGACTCGGAGGGAGAGCTTGATGGGCGCTCTCCGTGGTTCTGAATTCCATCCCCAGCTCGCTTCACCTCGGGCAGCCCCACGCCCGGCTTCCAAAATGCTCAGGAGAGAAGCCCGCTGTGGCCGGGGAAGCCCCTGGCACAGGGGATGCCGGCTGCCCAAGTTCAGTGCTATTCTTGCTATTATCCTTAATGATTCTGTTATTCTCATGCGCGATCCCTACACATTAGCTGCCTGAAGCCCGTCTTTCGCCATAGACCTGGCGCACAGTTGAGCTCTGGGCCATAAAAGACCCCACCGGCTACCACGGGAGCCCATCTTTGCAGAGGTGGCTCGCAGTGACGCTCGGCTGGGGCCAACGGGGAGTGGCTTCAGGGCCCGCTTTTCTCTCCCGCAGCCCTAGCACTCTTAGGGTGCACCTTGGCGAACATGACGTCACCGTTGAGGAAGGCACCGAGCAGCACCTCCAGGTGGAAAAAGTCATCCCACATCCTCAGTACGATTCCGGAGTCAGGTTCAACAACGACATCATGCTGATCAAGCTGGCCCACCCGGTCACCTTCAACAGCTACGTGCAGCCCATCAACCTCTCTCCAACCTGCCCCAAGGCAGGGGACTCCTGCCGCGTCTCCGGCTGGGGGAACCTTCTGATATATGGAGGTAAGCAATTATATTGTCATGCTGGTCTGTGGGGAGACGGAGCACCCCTGCAAGCTCGATCCAAGCTGCACCGGCTTTTAAAGCAACCATTCCCCTCCTACGAGGGTCCCAATGCAGTGTCCAACTGAGCTTGCACCTGTGGAGCAAACAGAGTGGATAGGTAAAGAAACGAAATGCAAGGCCAACAGCTGAACCAGGAGGCAGCGCTTGAAACCCAAAATGACGCCCACAGGAGCGAAATCCACGCCGCCGAGGGCCGAGAGTCCTTCCGCTGCCCCGTGACACTCTCTGGCAAGAGTGGGCTGGAGAGACGACCGATGTTCTGTCTCGATTTTGGGGGCATCTTGTGAGCCTTGGACTGAGATGGGTTCTTGTTCTTTGCAGTTAAATATGCGGACACCTTGCAGTGCCTGAACTTGCCCATTCTTTCCACCAACGTCTGCCAAAAATGCTACCCAAGCCGCATCTCTGTGAACATGTTCTGTGCTGGCTACCTGCAGGGAGGCAAGGACTCTTGCCAGGTAAGAGCGAGCCTGGTGCTTGGGCTTGGAGGGGGAGGGAAAGGGCACAGGCAGTGGGAAGAGGTGGAAGGGGGCACATTCAGCTGGCCGGTGGCATCACACCAGTGCAAGCTGCCCGGGTAGACTGCCACGCCTGAAAAACTCTTCTGTGCAAAAGGGAAATGGCGAGCAAATTTCCCGGCAACTCAAAAGCTAGCAGATCTGGGGGAACAGCCTGGCCCAACCTGCTTCCTACAGCACCAGTTTTCTGGCTGCAAGGATTGCATGTGAGAAATGCAGGTGCAAATATCCGGTTCTGCTGCTGCTGCAGCCTGCACAAGTAAGGTCCGTTCCAAGCCCAACACATGGAGCGGGCAGAGAGGGGAGTTTTAGAGACGGCGCAAATGAGGGGAGGCAGCATCGTGGACTGATCCCATGCTCAGGTCCCTGCGTGCAATAATCTAGCACATCAGGGGGAAAGATCAGATCTCGTCTTCCCTCGGAGACATTATTTTTCTACATGCAGGGAAACTTTTACAGAGGTTTGTTAGTGGCGGTGGGCAGGAGACGTTCAAAGAAATGGCACACCCCGTCTGAAGTGGTGGCGTCCAGGAGTCCGGCACCACATTTGACAGAACGGTGGAACAGCTCAGAAGGATAGAGGCACAGATGGGCAGAAATGGAGTACGCACTGGGAGCAAGGTTAAAGGGAGCGTGGCGTATTGCAGCGTGGATATCAATGTGTGGCCCCTCTCTGCTGCAGGGAGACTCCGGGGGCCCACTGGTGTGCAATGGAGAACTGGCCGGCATTGTGTCCTGGGGGTCCGGATGTGCCCTGGAAAACAAACCTGGCGTGTACACGACTGTCTGCAATTACAAGGAATGGATAGAGGAGGTACTCGCAAACAACTGAGACCATCCTGGAGATTCCCTTCGCGAAACAGGATTCCTTGTTCCAGGAAAATGCCACATCTGTTGGATCCAAATGTCTGCTTAAAATAAAGGCAGTGGCCAATGCTACCTAAAAAGTAGAACTGCATTTATAGTCCAGCTGCTTATTTATTTATCTATTTATATTATTTGATTTCTAGCCCACCCCGTTGGCCAGATGCCTCCTTAGGTGAGTCACAAACAATAAAACCATTTAAAACAATATGAAACCTTTAAAACACACCAATGAGATAATAAATAAAAGTGCACCTTATCACATCTGAACAGAACCGATAATTGCATAATTTCATATCACATACTATTAAAATACACATGATTAAAAGTAAATTAATTAAAATACTGGCAAAATAAAAAGGTCTTACGCTGGTGCTCTGAGGAGCTCATTCCACAGCAATGTCCTTCTTCTCATGGAATCGTGGGAACTTTCGCATCCAGGGAAAACCACACTTCTCCAGAGTTGAGCAAAGTGGGGAAAAGAGAACCGGGTAACTGACAGAAAACATGAAGTCACATGTAGTGCATCCGAAGGAGTTCACCGGAGAAGGTTGTTAGTTGGAAGGAAATGGGGGCTTCAGACCTCCTCTTTGTGATGCTCTTCTGCAGCTTGACTGAGCTGTTTCGTTTTTCATTACAGAAAGACGAGTGTGTCTTTTTCATGTGAATTTTCCTGGGGGTTTCATTCTGCCATCTGTCAAAGCTTTCAAAAGTGCTTTTCCTTAGAAAAAGGGAGCAATTGCTCTTTTACACTTCGAGCAATACATACCCCCAGGTCAGAAATGAGGAGGAGACTTGAGCATTTTTCTGCAAAAGGGGTGTATATCCCCCCCCAGCCCAAACACCCCTTTTACAGGTAAAAATCACCCACACCTTTGTTTTTTCTTGTCAGGTCATCTTCTGAAAGCCTTGTTCACATTTGTACATGGTTGCACTTGATAAAAAATATTGAGCAACAAAATCATGATTTAAAAGAGTAAAACCCTCCATCCAATAACAAGGACACGGACAGCCACGGAACACTAATGCCTGAATGGCCCACACCTTGGCAGGCTTAGACACTAAAAAGTTCAGACAGGCTGCAAGTCTTTTTTCTGTCTGAACTTGCCTTTGATTGCACCTTAAAGCAGCAGTATAATTTCAAAGGCTAAATGAAAAAGGCACTCTTCCAAAAAGCCAAGAGAGAGGGGTCCAACCATCATGCTTTTCCCCCAGAAGAATCTGAATCCCAATCCAGAGCCAAGCTGGCCAACAGGACCTGCCTCTCATCCGAATTCCTCCCCACCTGGGTCACCCTTGCCCAGCCCTTTATCAAGCCCAGGTGACCTTCAAACATTTTGACTGCTCGCTTGTTTCAAGACGCCCAAGGCCTCTAGAACTAGCCAGCATTGGCCCACCGGTGACACCTCACGTCGGAGTCACAGAATCGCAGAATAGAAGAGTTGGAAGGGGCCATGGAGGCCATCGAGTCCAGCCCCCAGCTGTTGCAGGACACCACATCACACCATCCCACTCAGAGGGCTGTCCAGGTTCTTCTTGAATGTCTCCCGTGTGGGAGTCCCACCTATTTCCTCTAGCAAGCAGATTCAAAAAAGATTTGGCATCCTTAATTTACCCTTGCAAATCCAGTGAAATGTGCCAGGAACTGGAACCGGACTTTGAGCTTTTCCGCACAAGGTCGTTACGGTGGGCATGTCGTGAGCGGAGCCGGCAGGAGCCGGGGGTCAGACGAGGTGGCCCGGGAGGCCCCTTCTGACTCACTCTGTTTCTATGTTTCTATGTTACTATGCACTGATAACTTCCTTCTTTGCAGCTGTGTGTGGGCTCATTCCTCTTTTTCCAGAGCTGAGTTTGGCATAGAGAAAATGAGCTACTAGATGACTTTGGGGGAGGTGGCCCTGTTGCACCTTGCGCGTTTCCACGGTGCAGCTACCTCATGGCTCACCTGGAGGCCGAGCTGCTGCAAAGCAGGGAAGGCAAGGCCCATTTTGAGCCCAAGGCGGGTCCCTTCCTTCAGATGCAAGAACATTCATTTATTTATAAAATGTATATCCTGCCCCCGATAGTCCCACCCAGAAGATATTTAGGAAGAAATAAAACTGCTTGGACCAGAGATGAGATATAGTTGAATGAATTCACGTGGAGATGAAATAGGGTTGCAAAGAGAAAGAAATAACGATAATTTTAACTATTAAAATTAAAAGCACCAGAGAGAAAGAGGGATGGTGGTGGTAAAGGGCACTACTGAGAAGAGGATAGAAGGCAGTGGGGGAGGAACCAATCAATCCCACTCAGCTCCCATCAGTCCCAGCCAGCACATCAGGGATGATGGGGTCCGTATTCCCCATGCCAGCTCCCAGCTTCCCTGACTCCCAGGGCAACGGCAAACCATGTTTCTCAGCCTAAGAATAGTTGCCGAGTTGGCTTCCTCTCACCGGGGCAGGAAATGTTTGGTAAGGTGATTCTTGCAAAGGAGTTGCGGCAAGTTGCTGACTTGGTGGTTTGTAACTACCCCCAGTTGTCGCATGTCTAGTACCCACCACTTCTGGGAAAGTACCGCTTCACTTCCTCCCTGCATGTATGCGTGCGCACATGCAAACACACGCATGCACACCGGAGGATTACAGGAAGCACAGGAAGGACTCATCCACTTCTTGGCATGTTCCTGCAGCCGCATTTCATGGTGTTCAGAGGCTGCACCTTTGTCTTACTGAAGCTGCTCCCGCCCCGTTGATGCGAGTCAGAGAAGTCATTCTTTAAGCAAGCGCTGTATAGGCAGCTCTCCGGGAATCTTCTCCGTTTCTCCCGCGGCTGTTAGAGGCGCAGGATGGCGTGCTGGCGAGGACGGTCTTTAGGATTTGAGCCCCCACATCTGCTCCAAGAGCTCAGGATGGTGGACCCAAGTCTCCCTCTCTGTTCTTGCAACAGGCATGATAGGGTAGGTGCAGCTACAAGCCCTCGAATGGGGTCGTGCATCTCAGAAACCGCCACACATGCGCTGGCAGATGATCAGGCTCTCCGAGGGAACCCGCCTCCTTTCTGCTGCCTTCTTGCTTTTCAGTCCACCAGGAGATAGGACAGGAGGCAGCATGGGAGGAGCGAGGCGCCTCGCTTGGAGGACGCGATCGCAAGCTGAGTGCAGCTCATCACAGCAGTGCAGTGAGGAAGATGAGGGAGTGACCAGGCATGCTGGCCGGAGCGGGGGGGCAGTGATCCCCACTCAGGTGAAGCGGGGCATCAGTGGAGCAGTGAGGTGGAAAGCATGCGCTGATTCCCAGACGAGGGAAACGGGAGACGTCCCCACAGCCCCTCCCTTTCACCAGCCCTCTTGCCTCCACCACCAGGGGGGCTCTGGCTGTTGAAAAGCTGGACAGCAGGAGGGATGGATCCCCCTGCCCCCCACCCCAGTGAGCAACTCAGTTCTCCCAGCACCTCCTTTCTGGGTCAAGGCCTGGGTCCTGTATCTGCCCCCCTCCCCAAAAGCCCCCGGACTCCTCCAAAACAGGTTGAGAAACACCATGGGGCAACCGCGAAGGAGAGTCCAAGAGCGACCCCTCTCCCGTTCCTGCCCCTCTTCCTCTTCCTCCACATCAGAACCTGATGAGGACTCCCCAGCACAGCCTCTGTGAGCGGGAGACCCCTCTCTGTAGCATCTTTTTTTATTTATTTATTTTATGCGGGATTTTATGATTGTAAGCCACCCTGAGGCTTATGCGATGGGGTGGCATAGAAGTTGTTTAAATAATAAATCAATCAATCTTTGGCAAGAGAAGTGAGAGTGGGGCTGGTGAGGGCCAGCCCACCGAGGCCTGCGGCTCCCGGCCAGGTGTCCCTGCTCAGCTGGTTCTCAACAACCTTCAAGGCAGCGGTGGGCAAAGGAGGGATTCATCGACCATCGGGGCCGTTGGCGGCGCTCAGCGGCGCTCCCTGGCTACCCGCCTGGCAAGAGCGGCAGCGGCCCCTCTTGCCAAGCAGCTCTATGGTGCTGGCCTTGGTACCACGGTGAGCTGTGTTTTCTGGGTTCCAGCAGCACAACCAGCCAGAGCGGAACAGGCAGACAGCGCAAACCATCGAACAGGCTGTTGTTTCCGTTTGTGGTTTCCAAAAGCTCGGCATACCCTGCTGAAATTCCACAACGGGGTTCCGACAACACAACAGCCTGAAGGAGGTCAAAAGACACCCGTGGCCTGTTGTGTTGTGTTGTGTTGTGTGCACCAGCCCAATGGCTGGAGCAAGTTCATCCTGGGAGCTTTGTGACTGGGCAAGGATCTGGACCAGATCTCCTGCAACAGAGCGCTCTTCACTGGAGCGCATGACGCCGTTTCTTGAAAGAGAGCGAAGGAGAGGGGGGCCAAAGCGGCGAGGCCCAGGTGCTTCCCATCGGCAGCTCATCCCTATTTCCATTCCTAGCAACCAGCACTTTTCACGCAAGTGGGAAGAGGCCACCCTGCTCCGCTCTGCAGGCCAGGAAGCAACAGATGAAGGGGGATGAGAGTAGGTGGAACACGGCGACCGACACACCCCGTCCATTTTCTGCCTCTCTGTCCAGCCTTAATATGCATTCCGTGTGCCATTGTCATCTGCTAGTTCCATAACTGAGGTGAGATTTTTGGGTGTCACACATACCCATCCTCTTCTCCCACCCCAAATTTATTGCTGAAATCCCTCCTTTGCATTATTCCACATGCTAAAAGGGGCAGTGGGGAGATCCTGAAGAAATGAGAGAGAAACTGCCCATTTCATGCTCAATTCTAATGAAAGTGATCGCTCCTTGTCGGAAGAGACTTTTTTTTAAATTCCCAATTACAGTAACATGCTAGAACAAGAATCCTACATAAGAATAAGAATGGCAAGGATGTTCCCGCTCTCTCCTCTCTCTCCTCTCCAGTTAGTTCATTTCACAAGGAGCATCTGCGTGGGCATTCGGCAGGAAGCGGATTCCAGCTCTGCATATTTTCTGCAAGGGAACGCGGAACTTGGTGCATCATGCACGAAGAATTGCGCCATTGCCTCCTTTGCACAAAGAAGCCACACGAGTTCCGAGCATGTGAGGAGCGGATCTCAGCTCCGCCTGTTGCCTGGTGAGGACCAAAAGGAAGGGAGGGAGGGAGGAAGGAAGGAAGACGTCCGGCGAGCACAAGAGAGCCAGCTGCCCACCTGACCTTCACACATCAGCCAAGGCTTTCCTTCGGCGGCAGCCCTCACAGCATGACGGAGCCGTCCCCCGCCTGGGCCGTGCTCGGCTCCGTGGCTCGGCTGAAGTCCTCCAAGGCTTGGCTGTCCCTCGGGCTCCAGTGCCCGCCCCGGCCTGGGGACAGCCGGGAAAGCTCCCTCCGGAACTTCGCCCCCAGAAAGGCATACACCACGGGGTTGAGGCAGCAGTGCAGCAGGCCCAGGCTTTCCGTGAACAGCAGCCCAAAATCGAGCACCTTCTCCCGGGCGCAGTCGCGGGCCAAGTGGCCCAGGCGCTCCAGGCTGTCCACCAGGACGAAGCCGTGGTACGGGCCCCAGGAGAGCGCAAAGAGCGCCACGATCGCCGCCAGCAGCCGCACGGCCGGGCGCCTGTGCGGCAGCTGGGCCCGGCGCAGCCTGGCCACGATCCGGCAGTAGCAGAGCGCCATCACCAGGAGGGGCAGCAGGAACCCCACGAGGAAGGCGGCCAGGCGCAGCCCCAGCCGCCAGGAGTCTGCCTCCCGGGCGCCGAAGCCCAGGTGGCAGGTGACGGCCCCCGCCTGGGGGGTGTAGCCCACGCTGCGGAAGTGCAGCTCCACCGAGGACAGGCCCAGGGCGAGCCCCCAGAGCAGAGCCGAGCACAGGCCCACGTGGGAAGGCCTCACGTGCCGGTGCAGCCACGTGGGGTGGCCGATCAGCAGGCAGCGCTCCACACTCAGGCAGGCCAGGAGGAAGGCGGTGCTGTAGCCGTTCAGGGTGGACAGGGCCCCCAGGAGCTTGCAGAGGGCCTCCCCGAAGGGCCACGGCTGGGTGAACTGCGTCGCCCAGAAGGGCAGGCTGAGGACCAGCAGCAGGTCGGCCACAGCCAGCTGGAAGAGGAAGCCGTCAGCAAAGGGCCACGGGCACCGGCGCCTGCCCAGGACGGCCAGCACCAGCCCGTTGCCGGCCAAGCCCACCACGAACGCCACGGAGAAGACGGCCGGGCCAAAGTAGCGTGCGAACGTGCCCACCTCGTCCTGCTTGCAGGGGGCTGTGGCTGGGTCGATGTCCAGGGAGCCAGTGGGAGACTGGGAAGGAGAGAGAAGGCGAGTCAGAATGCGGGGGGGGGGGGCGGTCCATGCACCCTACCCGTCAGGTCTTCTGTCCTTGCACATGCGTCACGTGGGGGGGGGGGGTGGGGGCAAGGGGG